GGGACAGACTGCGAGGAAGTGGTCCCGGGACTTACACGGAAGGGAGTCAGGGGAGGCCGAGTGACTAGATAGTAGAGAGTGATGTACATAGGGTGGGGTTCTTGGCGCAGAAGTCAGCAGGAAGCGCAGCGCGGTAGCGAGTATCACTAGTGCGGGAGGCTGCCTTGATGAGATCAGCGACATGGGAAATGTGCGGCAAAGGTCAGGGAAGAGGAAGGGGAGCATGAGGTGGCTCAGTGCAGTAGTGGCAGGGAGGAGTAGCAGCGCAACTACAGCGTGCGTACAAGGTCTGGGCACTCTACTGCTCTGGTCGTAAAGTGCGCGCGCTCAGCGTAGGCAAGTGGCGACGCACAGCCAAGACGTGCAGCAGCATCGCGCGTGGCCCCTGTGAGCGAACAGTGGCGTCAAGCATCAGCAGCAGTGGAAGGGACGGCGCCCAGAGGTGAGGTCAAAGAGAGACAGACCGTCCGCCCCTATCGCACTGTAAAAACAGCTGCAGGTCGTCGAGCCAGACCTCAAAGTCTATGGCTCGACCCTCAGCGTCAAAAGCGAGGACACTTAGGGGTAGCCATGACGACGAGCGAGAGCGAAGCAGTGCAAGCAGTAGGGGAAGGGCACGCAGTGAGAGCGGTACAGTGCTCACCGGCAGGGCAGGTCGGGCGGCTCGGTAGAAAGGCGGCTCGGCTACTCAGCGACTCAGGCTCCCGGCGGCTCGGCTCCCAGGCCGGCTCGCGGTAGGGCGGCTCGGGCGGGGCCGGCTCGGCTGCGGGCGGCTCGGGTGCAGGGCGCTCGGCTGCACTGCTGCTCGGCGGTACGGCGCTCGGCTGCTGCAGGTGGGCGGCTCAGCTGCTGCAGTTGGGCGGCTCGGCTGCTGCAGTCGGGCAGCGCGAGAGCAAGTGGCGGCGGGGGCCGTGAGTGCTGGGGCGGCGGTGCGCGAGACAGGGGCGGCGGGGCCGTGTAGCAGGGGCGGCGGGGGCCGGGAGCGCTGCTGGGCGGTGGGCGGGGCGCGAGATCAGGGGCGGCGGGGCCGCGTAGTAGTAGGCGGCGTGCCGGAGAGCGCTGGGCGGCGGGCCGGGTGCAGCTCAGGGGCGGCGGGGCCGTGAGCGCTGGGGCGGCGGGGCCGCGAGATCAGGGACGGCGAGGCCGCGTAACAGGGGCGGCGGGGCCGGGAGCGCTGGGGGCGGCAGGCCGCGTATCAGGGGCGGCGGGGCCCGGGAGCGCCGGGCCGGGGCCGCGTATCAGGGCCAGCGGGGCCGGAAGCGCTGGGGCGGCGGGGCCGCGAGATCAGGGGCGGCGAGGCCGGGAGCGCTGAGGCGCGGCGGCCGTGAGATCAGGGACGGCGGGGCCGCGAGCGCTTGGGCGGCCGGGGCGCGAGATCAGGGGCAGCGAGGGCCCGCGCTTTCCAGGTGTCAGCGAGCGCGATATCAGGCGCGGGCCGTGGGACGGGGCCGCGAGATCAGGGGCGGCGGAGCCGCGTGAGTAAGGGCGGCGAGGGCCGCGAGAGCAGGGCGGCGAGGCCGCTAAGGCGGCGCGAGGGCGGGCAGCGGGCGCGGAGCGCTAAGGCGGCGCTCGGGCTGCTAGGGCGGGCGGCTCGCTAAGGCGGCGCTCGGGCCGTTAGGGGCAGATCGAAAAGTAAGAGCAAGGGCCCGGAGCGCGCTACGGGCAGAAAAAAAAAGGTTCGATGTGGTGGGGCCCTAAGCACAGCTCCCACGGGGGAACCTGCTCGATACCATGAGAAATTTAGAACGAGAATGGATTGACTACGAACGAAGTGAGTACAAATAGGAAACCCTAATTGGGTTGTACCCCCTATGGGATACCCCACTATAGCCTACACAAATAAGTAAGCTATAATGTTTCTGACATAGCATGCGAGCAGGTGCGGGGGAATAGCATGCGAGCAGGTGCGGGGGGATAGCATGCGAGCAGGCGCGGGGGAATAGCATGCAAGCAGGCGCGGGGAAGAAGCTCACTTCGTGGCCCGCTCCTTCTCTTTCAATTGTCAACCCCTTGCCTTTCGTGGCCCCTGTGCTTCATCATTGCTTCCATTGCTTTCCCTTCCGTATCTCTGTCCCCCCCAGCAACTTCCCTTCTCTCCTCATGTTCCTGTTGTTGTCTCGCTGTTTGCTTGCCCATCATCCGCTCTCCCCATTCCGCAGTCAACCATCACCACCCCAGTTCATGAGTTGGAGGTGTGGCGTCTATCGTGATATCGCTTCCCCTTAGTCGATATGGACCCTAGCCCCGACGCCGATAACTTGGCGCCGACTTTGGCTGACTTCCCTCTTCGTCACCCAATGGGTCGTGGTCTCAGCTTCACTCTAGAGTGGTAAGACTTCTTAGTTCTTCGCAACCACAAGATAGAGTTCAACGACAGATGTTTGGGTTTCGGCATCAGGTAGGACTCGAGTAGTCGGCGCCGACCTAAACAGGGTTAGTGTTGATGTCGGCGCAGTGGCCTTCTGATTTACATCGACGTGCACGGTATTAGGCATAGACCCCCTCCAGGAACGTCCGGCCACCTTAGGAAGCATCGACCACACGCAGTCGCCCTGTGTACTTTTCGGCGTTTGCTCAAACCGCCCTTGTATGAACCTCCTTGCCCAACCGTGTCGTCAGGTTCGCGTGGTCCCGACTTGGGATCGACAACTAGCGTTTGTGGGTAATCGGAGTCGGCACGCTTCGATCGGCCATGAAGGAGGCCGACCATTCATGCTTTGCTGCGGTTTTCGACGCCGACATCGCCGCTATCCCGTTAAGAACGATGTGAGCTGTTTCACCATTGATCAGTTGTCGTTTTTTGTTGTCGCGACATCGCGTGGTGTTGTGATCGACACCGTCGTGAATTGCATGTGCAGCCTCGGTCCGCTTCCAGGAACGCACTGCAGCGTCATTGCCATCCTATACCCTGGAGATCTGTTGAAGGCTGAGGGACAGGTGTGCAGGACCTCAATCCGGCACATCGACCCGCGGACCGGTAAAGGGTATCACCGCGACGAGGCCGCCCGCGTGCTAAAGTAAGTGCTGAATTGTCGTCGATGACCTGCTTGTTAGTCGGCGACACAGGGTATCACACGCTGACCGCCTCCCTCCACCGCGGTGCTTCAGGTTTCTTCCGCACGGCTGTCCTGGCCGAGCTGGGGCGTCCCGGTAGGATGTGGGACTGGGCGCCGCCATCACAAGCAGTGGTGTGTCAGAATGTTATAATTATCTAGCCTGTAGTGGGGTGCTCCATAGCGAGTACAACCCTGTTAGGGTTTGCTATATGTATCCCAACTGCTGCTATTGAATCCCTCTCTCTTCTTCATTCCTTAATTACTTCACATGCTATCAGAGCATCTACGCTCCTGGCCTGTGGGCCCCACCCAACTGCTTCCGCTGCTACTCTGTCTGCTGCACGCCCCTTGGCGTGCCCCTCGCGCGACCCTTAGTGGCCCCGTCGCCACCCCCTCGCGGCCCCGTCGCCGCCCTTCTCGGCCCCTCGCGGCCCCTTTGCCGCCCCTTTCAGGCCCCTCGCGGCCCCTTCGCGGCCCGTCGCCGCCCTTCCAGGCCCCTCGCGGCACCTTCGCGGCCCCGTCGCCGCCCCTATTGGCCCCGTCGCCGCCGCCAGCGGCCCCGTCGCCGACCTCTCAGGCCCGTCGCGGCCCCTTCGCAGCCCCGTCGCCGCCCCTATCGGCCCCATCGCCGCCGCCAGCGGCCCCGTCCGCCGACCCTAGCGGCCCCGTCGCCGCCTCTATCGGCCCCGTCGCCGCCGCCAGCGGCCACCGTCAACCGACCCTAGCGGCCCCGTCGCCGCCCCCTATCGGCCCCGTCGCCGCCTCCAGTGGCCCCGTCGCCGCCTCCAGCGGCCCCGTCGCCGCCACTTGCGGCCCCGTCGCCGCCCCTTTCGGCCCTTCCTCGACCCTGCCCCGGCCCCGCCCCGGCCATTGCTCCGTCGCCAGTCGCGGCGCACCGGGGGCACGTGCACCGCCCCCCCCTCTTTTTCCCGTCGCCCGTCGCGGCTCCCTTGGGGGGCCGAGACCTGGGGGAGGGGGGCGAGCGCCGCCCCCTTCTGCCGCCTGTTTTGGCGCCCTGGGAGGCCGTGCGTCGCCCCCCCCCCCCCCCCCCCCATAACCCTCCCTACCCGCCGTCCCGCCCTGCCCTGTGTTAGGGTCTGGGGTTGGCGAGTAAGGGGGTGGCGGGTGTGTGGTCTCCCCCTGCTCCTCCTCCTCCTCCTCTGTCTCCCACTGCTGCAGCTGCCGCTGAGGGGGGTGGGTGTGTGGGAGTCGACGGAGTGGTGCTAGGGGGTGGGGTGTGAGTGAACCTAGGGTGCAGCAGGGTGTGTGTGAAAGGGGGGTGCTTTGGGAGTAGAACTAGGGTTTGAGCAGGGGGAAGTGTCGAGGGTGTGGGGCAGCTGGAGGAGGTTGTGTGGAGGTAGCTGTCGTGTCGCCTGCAGCGTCTGTAGTCCGTCGCCCTTGCTTCGGTAGCCAGTGAGCCTGTTGCACCAGTCGCCAGTGGGTCCGTTGCTCCTGCCGCTCGTCTATAGCCGCGGAGCCAGTTACTCCAGTAGTCTGTCGCCCTTGCTTCGGTAGCCACTGAGTCAGCCGTTCCTGTGCCCGTGCCTCTGCAGCTTCAGTCGTTGCCTCCCATCTTCTCTCCCTCCACAGTTCCTCCTCCTCCTCACTTGCCCGCTGTGATTAACTCTAGCTTTGCTCCCTATTGTGAAATCCTGCTCTATACCTACTTGCTCATTGTGCTGATTACACTCCACTTTGGCTATGGGGTGTGTCAGAATGTTATAATTATCTAGCCTATAGTGGGGTGCTCCATAGCGAGTACAACCCTGTTAGGGTTTGCTATATGTATCCCAACTGCTGCTAGTGAATCCCTCTCTCTTCTTTCATTCCTCATTCTTCACATGGTGGAGGTCAGGCTGGCCGACTGCGACCACCCTAACCGCGATGTGAGTTGCACGTTCAAGTAGCAAGGGGGGTGCCCGTTTCTGAATGCTCCCGCTCATCATGTTCCGTGCCTGTATGCAGAAAAGTGCCGGGCACAGTGTCGGACGGGCATGTCGGTGCCGGCGTGCTTTCCGCGACGTCGTTAGGGTGGATAGCGAAACAGATCGACCATCTGACAGGCGAGAAGGGTCGTAGTGGGGTGAGCATCGAGATCGTCGGGATGAAGGGGCTGAAGGCTTTGCGCGACAGCATGGTTGAGTACGTCAGTAAGGTCATTGCCGTAAAACGCACCGCGGCGCCCGACTTCTCAAGCCGCCGGACCCGCCGACAGTGCCATTGATGACGACGGCGCGGAAGGACAGAAGGCGCCCCAAGGTGCAGTTGCCGCCCAGCATCAGGGGAACGCGAGGGTGCATGGGGAAGGTGGAAACGGTGGAGGAGGCGACGCAGAGGCAGGTGCAGGAAGGTTGGAAACGGAGAAGTCGTCGTCGTCGTCTGAGTCGGAGTCGGAGTCGGAGGAGGAAGACGAGGCGGTGAAGCGTAAGGACAAGGACGAGGAGGAGGAGGAGGAGGAGGAGGAGGAGGAGGAGGAGGAGGAGGAGGAGGAGGAGGAGGAGGAGGAGGAGGAGGAGGAGAATAAGGACGAGAATGGTGAGAAGTGGGGAGGGAGGGAAGGATGAGGAGGGGGGGGATGAAGAGGTGGAGCTCGTGGTGGAGTATGTAGAGGGTACGGTTGAGGCGGAAGTGGCGGTGGGGTCGGCAGATCAGGGGAATGAGGAAGAGAAGGATGACGGCGCGGGAAATGCTACGAGGTCGGCAGATGTGGGGAAGGAGAAGGGCGAGGTCGGCGTGGAGGCAACGACGGGAAATGGCCAGGATGAGGCGGCCTGCGAGGGAGGTGGGAAGGTGTCGATCGACGCCGGCGAAGGGGCGAACAACACGGGCGTGCAAGAGACCGGGGAAGCACCTAGTCGGCAGGGCCCTGAACTGGATGACGTTGAGGAGCTGCGACGGGAGAACTGGTTGTTGCGGGCGGAGAACGCTCGGCTGGCGACGTTGCTCGATGCGGAGCGGGCTCGGCCTGGACAGGTTTTTTGTTGGGGTCAGTGGACTCGTCGACCACGTTTAAAGGTTGGCCGAGCAGGTCGACGACACCGAGAAGTATGCCGCGGAACAGCTGCGAAACGCGACGGAGGCCATGTCGGGCAACATCACCGGCAGCTTTGACGAAGCGTGGAAGCCGATGAAGACATTCGCGGAACAGGCGACGGAGTGGTTGGAGGACTTCGACAATCCGGAGGGTCGTGTCGCGTATGCACGGGCGTTAGCGGTCTACGACTTGGCCGAACACGTAGATTCGGTGGTGGGCGATGCGAAGAAGGGGTTGGAAGAGTACGTCTCGAACCACCTTGCCTCCGCGCAGGTCAACATCGCCACCGCTGTGCCACCCAAACTCGCCGTGCCGCCGCCGCCACCGCCTCATCCCACGCCGCCCGCCATCCTGGAAGAGCTTTTGAAGTCGTTCAAGGCCGACATCCAGAAGGCGGTGACGGAGGCCACCCAGCAGTCTTTCGTTGCTTCCGGGATGAAGATGGGTGACAAGATGATCGGCAATGTGGCGCCAGTCGATGTGGGTCGTCGCCTCCGGCCAATTGACGCCGATAATGCGCAAAGGAAAACGGCACCGAGAAGCAGAGCCATAACAGGACGGCGATGGAGATGACAAGGAGAGCTCGAAGCGGAGCAAGGGACGCGGACGGTAAGCCGCGGGTCGAAGCCTCGCGCAACAGAGCGTGGTCGACCAGCTGAAGACGAAGGCGGGGTGGAAGGTGAGTAAGGACACGTCGCACAGCCAAGGGAGGCGGAAGCGGGGGAGCAGAGGGTGGCCCTGCCGACGGGGTTGCCGGCTAACGTAGCTGCTCCGACTGGCCCTGCCTTTGGTCGCCGAGCAAACCCATCCTCAGGCGAGCGGTGGGAAAGGCGTGACCGAACAAGGGAGGTGCCAACTGCTCAGGCGGCGAATGATGGCGACTCCGGAACCACCAAGGGACCGTCCGTCGTGGCGGCGGCCAAGCCTGCTTCTGCTACGGTTGTCGGCACCACCAAGTCGAGTCCCCGTAACCCCCTTGCGGCTACCAGCGCGCCTGCCGGAGCCAGTCAGGTGCGAACAAAGATGGGGAGGCTGCTCCAGCTCCAGCAGCCCCGGCTGCCGCCAAGGGCGTCGCGAAGGCTGCTTCGGCTAAGGGTGATGCCGTGGCATCAGCTAAGGCCCCCCCTGGTGGTACCGCGCTCAGGGAGATGCTCCGCCGCATGGAGGCACATAGCAGGGACGTGCAGCAGCATCCCGTGGTCGACGCCGGCCTTCCTGGAACAGCACGTCGCTCCGTCACTACGCAGATTGCCGGCAAGTCGTCCGGTGCCCCACCTGCCGCGCCTCCGGTGGCCGCCCCACCGCCTGCGGACCCCAAGTTCGCTTTTCTTTGCGCCCATTTAGGCGCACGCAAAGCGGCTGCTCCGTCAGTGACCCAGCCGGAACTCGGCAAAAACGCGACGCCGACGTCGGTAAACGCGACCGCACCCACACCAGGTGCATCTATGGTCGATGTGGCGGCGGAGAAGGGAGTGAGTGCAGCGCTCGCCACCGGCGGCCGCGCAGACAAGCATGCCGATCTCGCTGTCGTCATGGCCCATTTTGAGGTAGCAAAGCGCCCCGAGCACGCCCTTGTTATGGCCATCATGCACCACGGCGCATGTGGTGCCGTCGGCGACCCACGGAGGGGGTTCGGCGGAGCAGACGGCCGCAATGGCTGCTGTCGCCGAGAGAAATGCTGGACGGAAGGAAAAGGACGACAACGGGAAAGGGAAGGCGGTCTCTCAGAGGAGCACGCGGGCGATGTCTGCGGGGAAGTTGATGTCAGAAGAGAAAGGGAAGAAGGCGGAAGGGGAGCAGGACAAGACGGGCGGCAAGGGTAAGCCGACGAAGAAGGAGAAGGCGGAGGAGGAGGACGAGGAGGGCGGCGAGGGAGATAAAGAGCATGGACGCAGGGGTCATGGCATCCGCCGAGACAAGGCTGGCGACGGGCAAGGGTGGGTGGGCGAGATTAAGGTAAACGGACAGAATCGGTACATCGGCAAGTAGAGGGAGAAGATGGAGCTGGCCTACGAGCACGCGATTGCGCTCGTCGTCTACGACAGCTACGTGAGCAAGGTGCTCATGAAGGAGCTCACCGTCTTGAAGCCGGGGGAGTTGGATAAATGGAAGGAGGTGTGGGCGGAGGTCAAGTTCTTGCCGACTGGGATGTGGACGGTGATGTGGGCAAGAGGCTTGTGCCATCCGAGAGCACGATAAGACGGATCCTGACGTGCCGAGTTCTGTCGACCAAGTCGTGTCATTACTCTGATGTTGACGAAGTCGTGTCATTCTAATGTGTTTGCGCGGCAGGGTTCTACGACATACTCGGCAGGTACCGTGGGTACGCGAGTTCGGGTGATGCGCTTCATGACGTGCTCTGGCCGGCGATCTGGTTCCCCATCATCGAGGACACGGAGGAAGGCAAGGAAGAGACGGACGCTCTCATGTCGGCGATGGTAAATCGCGTGTCGATGTGCGCGGCGTATGGGAAGGTCGCGGCGAGCGCGGTGTTTGGGAAGGCCGACGCGAGCGTGGAGGGGAAGGCGGACGAGAAGACGGAGATGGGGGGCCCAGGTGTTAGCGGCATCGGCATGCGCCATCTGGTGCTTCTTGGAGACGGAATGCGTCGGTGCTCGGTGCTGTGGGCGAAGGGAAGACGACGGCGATGGTGGCAAGTGCGGGGGAGGCGAGGGCCGAGGACTTCAAGGAGGTGATGCACGTGGTGATCGACATAGCACGCAGTAGGCAGGCTCCCGCGGGGGAGGTTGCACATAACGTCGCGCCATCGCTGCAGAGCCAGGCAGTGGCCAGGGCCTTCGCGAAGGGAGTTGAGGAAGTCGAGGCCGACATGATCGCAAGAGCGACAGTCAAGACCTTGGCGTTCTGGGGAATGTGCCCCGTCGTCGGGCCCAAGCTCAAAGCGCAGGGCATCGATGTGCCGTGTGACGCGAGGATGGAGTACGATATGGATCACAGGGGGAGGAAGGGGGAGAAGGCCAAGCAGAGCAAGGGCAGCAGCAATAGGAAGAAGGGCAAGCAGGGCATGGGCAGTACGGATGCGTAGTTGGCGGGCTGTGGTGTGCAAGGTACTATTGTATGGTCGGCGCCGATGTCGTAGTAATTCTAATTACTTTTGTATCGTAGGGCACGAATCTTTTTTGTTTTTTAGTAAATCACTGTCCACATTGAAACTTGCTAGCCGACTTTGAACGATGCGCTTTGTCGACGCATATGTCGACATCAAAAGGAACATGCTACTCGGCGAGCAGCGATGATAGAGAAGGTAGACACATGCTACTCCGCGACGAGTTCTGTCGGCGAATATGTCGACACCCTAGCTACATGCAATCCTGCAAGACGTCGACATCGAGCTGTGTTTAGATGTCAGCAAGGATAGTATTTTTGTTTCTTACTGAGCGACCGACTACATTTAACACAGCGGGACCCAGTAGGTTCGCAAGGGCCTTGCAGTGGGTTGTTACAAACTACCGGAACAGCATTTGGAAAAAAAAAGGGAAGGGGGGGTGGGGGGGGGGGGGGGGGGGGTGGGGGGGGGTGTACAAATCTGCCACAGTTAACAGCATCGAACTACGCACACGCATATCCTACATGCGCGATCATGCTGACTTCTTGCGCTTGGTCGGAGGACGGTGCACCGGAAGCGGTCGGCTTGGCCGGTGCTGTCGACTTGGCCGGGGCCGTCGGCTTCGCCAGGTCGGCCTTGGTCTTCGGCATCTGCTCCTCCCACGTGTCTGGAAACAGGGTTTCGACCCAATCACTCTGCTTCAGGTTGAGCGCCACAAGCGCACAGGCAAGGCGTAGCTTCGAGACCACCTTGGGGCCCAGCCCCTTGACTCCCAAACCAGGCTCTTTGGACAACATCGGTGCCGTTCCCGGTTTGAGCACCGTGAGGGCATCGACGAAGGTCCCGATGCCCGATGTCGCGATCCTGTGCAGTGTGTCGACCACGGCCTCGGTGTCGGCGTCGCTGTCGCTCGCGCGTAGCTGGCGCACCGCATCCATGACCTTCAGCATGCGGCGCACCCTCTTGTTGAATGCACCTTGCGTAGCGCCGGCGAGGAGGGTGTGGCGGTCGATGAACCCCGGCTCGGCGATCCTGTCGCAAAGCCGACGGGTGTCATTAGCGGTGGCGGAGTTCCAGAGGCGCCAGGCGTCCCTCACGGTCTTGGCCTCCCGCCACGGTTGTACCACGTTGAGCTCGTAACTAGCCTCCTTGTCCGTCTGTGGGGGTGGCGGGGGTTTGTCGTCCCCTCCGTCGGCGCCGGCTCCCATGTTGGCCGAATCCGCCGAGCCACCCTCGCTGGGAGCTTGCGCGGTAGCACACGGCGGGGCCTCAGGCACTCTCCGTGCTTCTGACACACGGAGTGCCTCGGTGAGACGGGTTATCTCGGCGGTGAGAGACGCGATGGTGTCGTCGCGCTTCTCGAGCTCCTCCAGGAAGTCAATCTTCTCGTTCGCGGCACGCTCCATCTCCTTCGTCAGCTTCGCCTTGAGGGATATGTTGTAGTACTCGGTGTCCATGCGGACAGAGATTTCCTGCAGCGGTAGGACAAAGACGTTAGCCGCGAGGTGGTTTGGAATGCCCTACAGCCAGCTCGTCGTCGACTTACCTCTGCCTGAATTTGGGTCGGGTCCTGACGCTTGTTGATCGTCTCGGTGTCGACCCTCTCGACCCGTTTCGCCCAGTGCTGGAAGAGGGGGATCCGGCAGAACAGGGAGCCTTAGACGTACGGGTGCCATGGTGTGCGGACCAGCTTCACCGCTAGGTCCTCGGCGACGATGCGGCGCAGCATCTGGAGTGTGCGCCAGAAGTGCACCGCGGCTTTGTCGGCGTCGGACCCCTCGGCAACCTTCCCTTCCACCTGCAATTCGTCACGTGTATTAGGAGTTCAGACACTGTCGGCAAACACGACTCGGAAACAAGGATACGAGGGCGTCGACTAACATACCGTCTTCAGCATGTCGTCGACGCCGGGGAAGATGTGCTCGGTGAGGAGCTTCAAGAGCTTATCAGAGGGCTCCACCCTGCTCTGGCCCAAGAAGTAGTCCTGCTTGTAACCAGAGTAATCGGCCTTCTTCATCACCACCCCCACCGGAATGGCGGTGATGTACGCTCGCGTCATCTTGTCGAGCGCCCAGTGACCCAGCTCCGCGATCTCGGCGCGCGGCGTGCCGTCGATGGCCAGCTCCTGGGCCCCTCCAGCTCAAGCGGCGTGCACGTTCCTCTTGCAGAAGACCCCGTTTTTGTCCCACAACTGCCGCGTCCAGCGTTGGTGGCTTGCTGCAGAGAGCCCCCCTTGGTCGGTGTCGTTTTTGGCGAAGAAGAGGTGCTTCTTGTACCAGCTCGCGCGTGTGCTGGTGTCCACCAGCGGAATGAGGCGGACGCCGTGAAACTGGCCGATCTGGTCGAGGATGAAGTGCAACCACAGGCCCGTCTCGCCGACGGCGCACAACTCCGCTTCGAGGTGCCGCGCAGCGTAGCTCTGCTGCAGACGCGCATCCTTGGACGTCTTCAAGTTCCGCGCAGCGATGACCATGACGACCGGCTGGTTCTCCGGGTTCACCGACGAGGTGCTCGCCAGTCGGTACAAGAATATGTCGGGGAGCGTGATCTCGCGGATGCTTGCACCGCGCAGAAGAGAGTGATGGGAGAGTAGCGTGAGCACCTTCAACAGCAGAAACCGCCATAGCGTCTGCAACGGGCCCGTACCCCGCGGGTTCCATGCCTTGGCCGCCCACGTCGGCAGCACCCTGAACATGATCTGGCGGAACTGCTCGGCGGTGTAGGTATCGCCGATTGTTCCGCGACGCCGATCGGTGCAGTTCCTGCCGACAGTGCCGAGGGTGGGGGGCAATTAGGGCGGCGTCGACTCAGTACAAGACAACAAGAGGTTAAACAAAAACTCACTTGATGTCCCGCTCGTTCTTGGTGCGGATCATGAACCGCACCTCCGACCTGACCACCGATATCTCTCGCATGATGCTCAGCTCCGTCTCCCGGTATATCGTCGCCTCCACTCTCGCCGCCATCTGGCATGCCTTTATGCGCCCGAGGAGCGTGTGCACCGTTGTAGATTGCACAGGCTGTGTTCCTGTGGCGTTGTCGCCCTTCTTGCTGGACTCGGCATCGAGATTCAACTCCTGAACCATGTACTTCACGTATGCGCGAAGCCGGGACTTGGTGACCCTAGGGCCGTGCAGCCACACGTACGACCGGGGGACATTGGCCTCTTGGTCCCAGTTTTTCTTCTTGTTGTCCCGGATGTAGTGCCCTATCTCGTCGACGTGCTTAAGCATGTACTCCTGCGGAAGCTTGTTGCGAATTTGCCTCAACATCTTCGCCGCCCACCTCTTGTAGTGATAGATCCACGAGGTGTACTGCCTCAGCGTGCTGTTCCTCTCCACGGTTTGCAGGTGGCGTAGGGCGTCCAAGACGAGCACGTTGATGGTCGCGTACACCATGTCTTCCTCGACGAAGTCTGCCGCCCTCCACTGTTCGCGCGGCACCGACAAATTCTCCTGGTCGGCATCCTCGTCCTGTTCGAGCAGATCATCTATGTATTCAAGTTCCCGCCTGAGCCGTTCTTCCAAGGTGCGCTGACTAGTGCTACGCGGCGGGCGCTCGTCGTTTTCGTCATCGCTTTCCTCCTCCTCCTCCTCCTCCCCCCCATCCTCCTCCTCATCGACCTCAACCTGGTTTCCAGAGCCGGCCGGTGCCGACGAAGTTCCTGGCCGTCCATTTCGCGTCGGATTCTGTTTTTTATTCTTGTTAATTTCCCCGATCGGCGTGTCAGAATGTTATGCTCTAGCCTGTAGTGGGGTGCTCTATAGCGAGTACAACCCTTCTAGGGTTTGCTATTTGTATCCTCATTCTTGCTAGTGCAAGCACTCTTTTACCTAAACTGTCTCGTGCCTAGCTAGGACTCTCCTAGCTATGGCGCCTTTACTCTATCACTCATTTTCACATGGTTTCAGAGCACATATGCTCCTGGCCTGTGGGCCCTACTACTGCTTCCGCTGCGCCAGGCCCGCGCGCGGCTTGGGCCGCCTGCGCGCGGTTCGGGAGGCTGTGCCAGGCCCGTGGGCGGCCCGTTCTTCGCTGCCCCTGCCCTCCCCGCTGTTCCCCGTGCTTCTGAAGGCGCCCCACCCCTCCTTCTGCCCGTTCTCCTGGATTAGGGTTTGGGGGTGGGGGGCATGGGGGTGCAGCTTCTGTGTGCCGTTCCCTGCTCCTCCTCCTCCTCCGTCTCCCTGTGCTGCAGCTGCCGCTGAGGGGGGGTGGACCTGTTGGAGCCGTCGGAGTGGTACTAAGGGGGGGTGAAGGGGGAGTGGAGCTAGGGGTGAAGCAGGGGGTGTGTGTAAGGGGGGGTGGTACTGATTGGGAGAGGTTGAACGGAGGTTGACGTCGTGTCGCCAGCAGCACCTGTAGTCCGGGGAGTTGCTCCGGTAGCCCAGCCGTAGCCACCTGTGTCAGTCGCCCGTGGGTCTGTTGCTCGTCTGCCGCTACTTTTAGCCGCCGGGCCAGTTACTCTAGTAGCCCGAAGCGCTGTTCCGGTAGCCGCTGTGCCAGTGTGCCTCCTGTTGCCCGTGTGTCTGTAGCTTCAGCCGTCGCCTCCTATCTCCTCTCCTCTCACTGTCCCTCCTCCTCCTCACTTGCCCGTTGTGACTACCACTAGCTTTGCTCATAATTGTGAACTTTAAACTATTGCTTCTTGAACCTGTGCTCAGAATGTGTGGTGACATTGTGATCCACCCTGAGCTTGTTCTGCTTTGCTTGCTCTGCTGATTACACCCCACTTTGGCTATGGGGGTGTGTCAGAATGTTATGCTCTAGCCTGTAGTGGGGTGCTCTATAGCGAGTACAACCCTTCTAGGGTTTGCTATTTGTATCCTCATTCTTGCTAGTGCAAGCACTCTTTTACCTAAACTGTCTCGTGCCTAGCTAGGACTCTCCTAGCTATGGCGCCTTTACTCTATCACTTATTTTCACACGGCGGTGGGGGAATGTTCTTGGTGAACTCCCCTTCTGGAATCTGCGTCAGCTTGTCAAGATCGTAGAGTAAGGGGAGGGTCTCTTCCTCGGTAGATGTCGGACTGTGGTCGGTGGATGGTCTAGCATCAGTCATGTCGACGTCGGCCATGTGGCAGCACGTATGTTGCTCTACCGTCGTCCGTGTGCGATGCGGAGGTCGGTAAACCAGAGACGGTACTGATTCACGGGTGCGGTGTACAAACGAAGAGTAGCGCGGCGGTCTTCCTCTAGATAACGTTCAATAACGTCTAACTCGTGTTCGACCTCGAGATTGCGGGGGTTGGTAAACCAAAGACGGTGCTGAGTCACGGGTGTGGTGAACGCCCGGAGAGTTGCGCGGCGGTCTTCTTCGAATTCTCGGTCGAGTGAGTCTAACTCGGCTTCGACCTCGAGCCGTTCCAGCTCCGCTTTGATGTCGGCGTCTACAGAGTCGGCGGGGGGTGGAATGGGTTGCGGCTGTTGGGCTCTAGGGCGACCTCTGGACATGCGTCGCCGACTTGCTACGTCGGCGGGGACGTTAGGAGCTTGCACCGATGTTTAGCTAAAACAGCAGACGTCGACGTTGATTACTACTGACCAAGTCGGCAACCGAGTAACCTACAGGCGCAATGACAGACTGGCAGCTGAAAATTCTAAGTGCACGAGAGAGCAGGAAGAAACGCAGGAACGGACGTGGGAATGAGCAGGCCCGCAAGGTCACGGACGGGTATGGTCCTGAGCGACTCCGATGCTGCCGCGCTTCACACACACCCCTATGATGCTGCCGCCATGCATGTGTTCTCGTAAAGGCGGCGCACTGTCCGACGTGCCACGTGCCAAGCATGGCTAATGTGACGCAGCGCTGCAACGAAGGGGCGTAAGCCTGGGTCTTTCCACGGTGGAATGGGCGTGTGTTACGTGGCTTGTGACCGACATTGGCCCCTCAGTTCCGAAATTACGGCATGCCGACTCCAATCTCCCAGGGTCCCGGAATTATTGAAGCCCAGCGTGGGGCGCCCTAAGATCGGCGCCGACTTCCATTCGGCGCGCTTGGTTGTTTCCTTAGGTTCATTGAACCTAGACAGTGTTGAGATTGTGCCGCGTGGCTTGGTTGTGAGCCTTTGGATGAAATGGTCGACACCGACATTGCTTGCAACTCGCGATGCCACAGAACAGTTACACCCTAGACGGTCCGATTTGCGCCGCGTGGCAGCCTAGTACACGGTGGGGACGGTCGGGCTCCTCCCTATTGGTCCGCGTGGCGGCATTCGCGGCTCGACGTGGCGTGCTGTCCTATTTTGTCCGCTGAGATATACTTCTCAGGAATCTCCCAGCCAAACCCGAGGTCGTCATAATGTCGTCAATCCCGAGGGCCCCCGAGGCACCTCGGTCGCCAGTTCGGCCCAGTTTGCCACTCGGAGGTCGTCAGGAGCTCGTCAATCCCGAGGGGGGCCCTTGTCCCATTTCAACTGCGAAATTGAGCGGCGTTTTTCGTCCGCTGAGGTATATCATCCCGAAATTGTTGAGAGAATTTCTCCAGTGGCCAATCGGGTGATTCATTCTCTCTCGTGTCAGAATCAGAAACAGGAATGATTGTGACTAGCAGGAACAACAGTACAAATATGAAACCCTAATCTGGTGTACCCCCTAAGGTGTTACCCACTACAGCCTAGAACCACATAAACATATATGTTTGACACACCCCCATAGGAATAGTGGGGCAGACCTAGGGGTCACAAGACCAGTCAAGGTAAAACAAGACAAACAAGCTCAGGGTGGATCTCGAGGATTCCACACAAATTCCGAGCACAAGTAAGCGGTCACAAGACCAGTTCACATGCAGTTTTATAATAGAGCAAGAGGTACAATGATCACAACCTAGCAAGGGCAAACATGCAGGTATATATATAATGATCACAGTACAGGCAAAGTCAAGAAGTAAGCAAGTGAGGAACAGTCGGCACAAGGCCTAGAAGAGTGCGAAAACGCTGATGGTCAATAGGCGGAAGCGCCTTGGTGAACACATCAGCAGTGTTGGCCTCAGTGGCCACGTAACGCAGAAGAAGCTGACCACGCTGCTGTAGCTCTCGAGCTAGAAAGTAACGCAGAGCAATGTGCTTCGTCCTGTGCTCCAGTCTGTGCTCCTGACACAAGGCTATGGTTGCCTTGTTGTCGACGTACAGCACTGGAGGAGAACGAGGCTGCTTTCCAAGGTCAGTCAGCAGGTAGGTGAGCCAGCGAAGCTCCTGGGCAGCCATGGCCGTGGCGTAGATCTCAGCCTCACAGCTGGAGCTGAGAACAGAAAAAGAACGAGTAGAACGCCAAGAGACATAGCCAGAGCCAAGACTGAAGGTGTAACCCTGAGACGACCGCTGAGTAGCCTGGTCGTCTGCCCAAGAAGCGTCTGAGTGCCCAGTGAGAACAGGCCGGTCTCGCCCTCCAAGCACTAGCCCCATGCCCGACGTACTGCACAAGTAGCGCAACACCCTCTTAGCTGCATCCATGTGCTCCTTCCGGTGACGGCCGGGAGCGACATAGCGTGCTAAGATGCTGAGAGGGTATGCAAGGTCAGGTCGAGTGCAGGTCATCAGGTACATGAGGCAGCCCACAAGCTCTGGATACGGACCACTCGGCTCTACGGACTCATCCAAAGGCAGAGCTGAGAGCGAGTGTCCCGTAGGCAGAGGAGTGGACTGAGGCGAGGAGTACGTGAAGCCGAAGCGCTGAAGGACCTGCTGCACCATGTGTGACTGAGTCAAGGTGATGGTGCGCCGTGCTCTGTCCCGGGTGATCCGCAAGCCAAGATAGCTTGTCAGTTCACCCAGGTCTGTGCACGTGTGTCTCTTCTGCAGCTCGGACTTCACGTGAGCGAGACCAGCTGTGTCAGAAGTGGCAAAGACCAAGTCGTCGACGTACACGAGGATGTAGAACGGCGGCAGTGAGGTGTCGGTGCGTAGAAACAGCGACGGGTCAGCAGTAGAAGGAGCGAACCCAAGAGCCGCAAGTGTAGTCCTCAGTGTGTCGTGCCACTCACGTGGCGCCTGGCGGAGACCGTAGACTGGCCGCCGGAGGCTCCACTGGGTACCAGGAGGGAACGACCCAGTGAAGCCAGGTGGGCGGCGCAGCCAGATCTCCTCGTGCAGGCTGCCCTGCAAGAAAGCTGTGCTGAAGTCAAGAGAGTGGAGCTCGTAGTCACGCTGAGCGGCGACGTGTAGCAGAACCCGAAGAGTGGTCATCTTCGGGGTCGGGGAGAAGGTCTGGAAGAAGTCAACTCCCTCTCGCTGACTGAAGCCTCGTGCAACGTAACGCGCCTTGAAGACAGGCGGAGAGCCCGGCGGCCGCTTCACCCTGAAAATCCACATGCCACTGACGATGTTCGCCCCAGGTGGGGGAACCTCGTCGACGTAGGTGCCAGTGGACTTCCAGGAAGCCATCTCTGTGTCCATGGCTGACT